TGTCGTCCACGAATTGACTCAGATTTGAACGAATCGTTTGCTTGTTTTTGAGCCTTTGGTTCAGTGACACCGACAGCTCCTGAAGCGATAGTATCTCCTGACAGATGTTGCCTAAGTCTGCCTGAAAGGAGCACAACATGCCCTCCAAGCGCTCCAATATCTGGTCCGAAGACGTGATCTCCGAATGCAAGGATGCGATCGCTTCCGACTGCAGGATGTAGTCATTGACCGACGCGTTCTCGATGTCCGTCAAAGACTTCTCCACTTCTTTACTATAAGACCGCAAATCGACGCCCGACTGAAGCACTTCTTTCACCAGATCCTCACCCAAAGTGTTGTCCACTTCGGACATCTCTGTCACCCAATCACTCATTTAATACACATTTTAAAGACATAATAAGTGACAAAATGAATACCGGTTTCCAGTTTGGAGTCATTCATCATTTGGTGGTCAGATGTGATGGTTATTGACAATCAGATGTCGATATATAGTGTGGTATTAGTGGACATGTGTTGTCAACAACTGATCCAATCGTGAAATGCCACTAAATATTGATTCATACAATGTATGCATACTTTGGTTTACATTGCAAACTGTGTTGAGAGCGACCTCTCACTCCACCACTCGTAACAATACATCACTTCAATGCATATATCATACAGTATTACAGAATACATGAAATTACATTGGTACTATTATAATTACAGTATTTAATAAGTTTTAAAAAGTTTTATTGATTGATAGTTGAATGTTTTAAGTTGAATGTTGAATGAATTAAAGTTTTGATAAACTATTCTTATTATAAATGTTTAATGTATAAATATTAAATAAACATTTAGAAACCTCAAATTCTTATAAGAATGTGCTAGGTCATTCAGAGTTTTCTAAAACTAACAAAATTTTGTTTAAAACATATTGTACCGGTTTGGACACAATCACACCATTGTATTGTAGTTGAGGAATGCAATGATATGTGATTTACACCAATTATGATAATATTTCTATATTAAGACCATATCTATTAGATTAAGTACTTATCAGTTGTATTGTTTAAGGATTGTACTGTACTTACACACAAAACACTATCAATGATAATAATACTATAATTTAGATTAAATGGTTAACATTTGTTTGGCATGAATTGATATTTATTGAGAATAAATGTTTAGTTTATCTCTAATTCATAACTACATTAGTATTATAAGCAAGAGATGACTCCCTATNGTCTGCATATTTGCTTATAGCAGCTAAAGGCCTACAGGATCCCAATAAAGTCAAGACTCTCAGACGACAGGTGCAGACCTGCCTCGAAGACTATATCAATGACCGACAGTACGACTCTCGGGGTAGATTCGGTGATATCCTGTTGCTGTTGCCGCCCCTACAGAGCATAACCTGGCAATTGATAGAACAGATTCAGTTCGCGAAGCTGTTAGGGACGGCCAAAATCGATAGCCTCATCCAAGAGATGCTTCTCGGAGGTAATGTAAACGCAACGCCACAAATGCAATGGTCCAGAAACCACCAACTCTGGCAGGGATCGTACCCCAGTATGTCTGACACATTGACACCTTATCCACACTCTCCTCCTCTACTATAGTCCTCCTCTCACTTCATGTTTCCAACAATTTCTTCGTAACATTTGTCTTATTTGTATTATTAGCTAAAATGCATTCATTATGTATCGCACATTCATATGACATGATATTCAATGAATAATTAGCTCATAATATGATTAATAAGTAATGTTTCTATCATTTTATCCCATATTTTCAAACAATACAACTATATTCTGAATATATTTACTGTAAATTTTGGCAAAAATAGGGCAAACATTTCCGGACAACAGTTCAAATTCAACGGCAAATGTGATGTCCAGTGCGTCGACGAGCGGTCAGTCCAATGGCTCGCAACCAATGGTCCACTCCATGAGTAGTGTCAATGGTGTGACCACTAGTATAACTAATAACTCACATAACTCTCTACCAAATGGTCATCAGTCGGACATTATATCAAACGGTCACAGCTCTGACACATCTATTCCCTCCCCTAATGACGATTCATATAAAATACAATCAAATCCATTGTCATTCAAACGAGAGAATATTGAATCCGATGTCAACTCCTTTTAAAAGTCTTCTATAATTCAGAAATTCATTCAATTCGTTGAGAACTCGACTTTAATTTCAAGGCATAATCAATATCTCCCAAAATACTGTTCAAAATCATTTTGTCAGACATTTGCTATCATTTATACTAATTATGAAGATTTCAGACCTAAAGAGATATATATATTTTTCTTTCAATAATAATCATATTTGTCTAAAAAGAGTGTATAATCTAAATATTAATATTTTTTGTAACAAAAGTTTATTTTGTTTTCTACAGTATAATACTAACAGATATTTTTGATATTTTATTTTTTGCTCATTTGATTATAAAATAGCTTTTTTCTGACAAACGATTTATTTTCTCATTTTATAATTGATTTGAAATTAAAGACGTATAAAATGTTTTTATTTAGTTTTCTTGATTTGCAATTTATATGTAATATTCAAGAAAAACAGATTAGAAATAACTTATAATATTGACATTAATTATAATTAATCGCATTTTTATTATGTAATATTAATGAATAAGGAGTCGATCTGTGAATTCCTGTGCCATAAAACTGACTGTTTGTGTCTTATATTCATAAATTTGAGATAACTTTTGCTCAATTTTCAGCCTTAAATCATAATTAGATCACAATATCATATTTGAATGATTTTTCCCGAAAGCATTGCTTATAATAACAATTGAATTGTAATAAAAATATTCGCAACAAATCATTGAGTGCTTAAAGAGTACTTTAAATGAGATTTCTTGTACTCAATAAAACAAATACAATTATAAAAGTCAATTGAAATGCATTTTTTGTGTTTAATCTTTTTATTATACATAAAACTATTTAACAATTTATTTATTTAGTGGTCCTATGATTGATCTCATGTCGTGTTTATGGCTCTATAGATGATGTGATCCATTGCAAGCAATTTGCAAATTCTGGAGTCGATGTCTACTCCAAGGCTGAGGTGGAGGTGGAGTTGAGGCATACGTTCACACAATTGTTTGATTCCACTCACAAACTGTCCGTCCCTTTCATTCCCTTCCCTTCCACTGCTCTTATGATAACACTTTCATTCACTCAATACGTGATTATATTGTTTGACTCTCTTATTGGTTGAGCACTGGGTATATGGCATACAAGTGCTTCCATACCAATGATACCAATGATACCATCGACTGCTCCATCATTTCACTCATTTTAGTGCCACTACTCTAAAGGTACTTGTCTTGTGATGAAATGTATTGTGTTGTAACTTACTGTACTGTACTGTACTGTACTGTACATGATCATTTTATAAGTTCAAATAAAATCCTATTTCATTAATAAAACAGAATAAATAGAAAGATAACATTTGTCTAATTATAGAATTTTTAAAACATACAAGTTATGGTCAATTGATAATGTAATGTAATTTGAAAGAGTATTATATTATACAATACTATATTTGCATTAATATAATTTAGGTAATATTATAATAATGGCTAATAAATATTCTGAATATTTAAAACTACATTCATGTAAATTATGAGAAAACATAAAAAGGTAATGAATTTGATGAGAAATAGGGAGTCATCTCTTGCTTATAATACTAATGTAGTTATGAATTAGAGATAAACTAAACATTTATTCTCAATAAATATCAATTCATGCCAAACAAATGTTAACCATTTAATCTAAATTATAGTATTATTATCATTGATAGTGTTTTGTGTGTAAGTACAGTACAATCCTTAAACAATACAACTGATAAGTACTTAATCTAATAGATATGGTGAATTATATCTTTATAATAGTATTAACCACATTTAGTGTATAGTAACGTAAGGAGTTGATGTTATGTTACCACACTAACACAGGTTTGGCCATGTTATACAAAATTTGTTTTAAAACAATCAAAATCCAAACTCTGAATGACCTAGCACATTCTTATAAGAATTTGAGGTTTCTAAATGTTTATTTAATTTTTATACATTAAAAATTTATAATAAGAATAGTTTATCAAAACTTTAATTCAACTATCAATGAATAATAAAGACTTTTTAAAACTTATTAAATACTGTAATTATAATAGTACCAATGTAATTTCATGTATTCTGTAATACTGTATGATATATGCATTGAAGTGATGTATTGTTATGAGAGGTCGCTCTGAACACAGTTTGCAATGTAAACCAAAGTATGCATACATTGTATGAGTGAATCAATATTTAGTGGCATCAAATGGTTGGATCAGTTGTGAACAACACATGTCCACTAATACCACACTATATATCGACATCTGATTGTCAATAACCATCACATCTGACCACCAAATTATGAATGACTCCAAACTGGAAACCGGTATTCATTTTGTCACTTATTATATGTCTTTAAAATGTGTATTAAATGAGTGATTGGGTGACAGAGATGTCAGAAGTGGACAACACTTTGGGTGAGGATCTGGTGAAAGAAGTGCTTCAGTCGGGCGTCGATTTGCGGTCTTATAGTAAAGAAGTGGAGAAGTCTTTGACGGACATCGAGAACGCGTCGGTCAACGACTACATCCTGCAGTCGGAAGCGATCGCATCCTTGCATTCGGAGATCACGTCTTCGGACCAGATATTGGAGCGCTTGGAGGGGATGTTGTGCTCGTTTCAGGCAGACTTAGGCAACATCTGTCAGGAGATACTATCGCTTCAGGAGCTGTCGGTGTCACTGAACCAAAGGCTCAAAAACAAGCAAACGATTCGTTCAAATCTGAGTCAATTCGTGGACGACATGATTGTCTCGGAGGCGGT